TACATGGATGGTTGGAACTGCAGGGTATTCAACAAGAACTGAAGTTTCAGGGCAGTGGGCAGGGGATGGGAGGCAGCAGAGCACACTGCCTTTCTCCAGGACAGCTCCCCTTGTTTCTAGCTGAATGTTACTGTGTTCGTCAGGGAGTCACCATCACATTGACTGTTGTGTTTCTCTCTCTCTCTCTCTCTCTCTCTCTCTCTCTCTCTCTCTCTCTCAGACAAGAGGACAGCAGAACAGAGTCGCACACCACAGAGCTGGAAAAAGAAAGCCAGATGGCAGAAACTAAGCTGCCAACTAAAAATATCACTCTCGTTTCAGACAATGCTTGAAATGCTTTCTCGTGTCAATTTAGTGTTTGTTATTATTAGAGCACCTAAAATTGTTAGGCACCATACAAACGTTAGGGGCAATGCATAAGCCCCATAATCTTGTAGTCTTAAATCCAAAGCCTGCCCATCAAAATATTGTTTTCTACTTCAGTATGGAATAAAACTGAAATCATGAATTTATTAATTTACATTAGATTGGTTGTCACAAGAGTGCTTCTGAAATAAACAGGCTGTGTGCTACTGTTCAGAAGTTAGTTCTAGTAAAATCAATGGAATTTGCTTCAAATAAATATATTTTTAATTTACTGCATTTGCATCCCAGGGAGATCAAGGTGGTCTACATGGTTCTCCTACTTCCTGTTTTATCCTACAACAACCCAGTGAGGTAGGTTAGACTGGCCCAAGGCCACCTAGTAAGCTTCATGACTGAATCAAGTTTTAAACCCTCCTCTCCCAGGTCCTAGTCCAACACTCTAACCACTACACCACACTGACTCTTCATTGGAATGCAATGATCAAGTTTGATGTATGTCAAAGAATGCGCTTATTTCTTGTTCCCACCTCTTTCCAACTCTGTCTGAATGGCAGCCACTCCCTCACAGTCCAGAGAGCAGCATATCATGTGTAACCATCATAAACCTATTCACTAGAAAGTTCCCTCATTTAACAAATGAGATGTGGTGATTGAAAGTTTTGTGTAACAAATGGAAAATTCACATTGATTTTGCAACACTTTGATCACATGAAAATGCCTCTCAGAGGGGTATTGCCAAGATTTTAATTTGTTTAGAATTTCCCCTCCTTTTCTTTCTCTGTTTATGTAAAACCAGAGCTTTCCTGTATCCACAGACAATCTTTTCAGACTTGACTCCAGCTCCTCCTGCCCTCTGTCTACACTAGGGATAAGGAGAAATAGGATTCAGTTTGCATTTGAAGGCAAATCTACATAATATTCCAAAAGAATATTTGCACTTTCCTGAATTTTGCAATGCAGTTCTCTGGCCAAGTAATGTGTGCAAAAATGCAGATATTAAAACAGCACACAACAGTGCATTTCATTTGGGAAAACTGCTTTGCAAAGATGCACGTATTAAGCAGAAATGTGTATATTAGAAGAAAGTCACACTAAAACTCTCATGAATTTTCATGAGGTCTCCAAAAGTATATATCACAAACTGATGTGAAAATGTAGAGACCTGAACTCCAGAGTGGGAAAATGAGAAACTAAGAAAAACCGAAATTGACAAATTCACTCACCCCTAGTCCACACAGAGAGGTCAGTCTTCACTACCACACCTCCTTGACTCCAGATTATGTTAAAGGAGAATACTGAAGAAAATACACATTTCAGAGGTAAAATGTGTGCCATGTATTTGTATCTGCATTTAGTAAAAAAAAAGTTGAATACAGCCTGACCTAGAAAAGAAGTAGAGTTTTAAGTAGATCATGCATAGATAAAGTGCATGATTAGAAGCAGTCAAGAAGAACAGTCTTTGACAATTGGTGAGGTTTTGGCGATAGGCTGCATGAGTTTAAGCAAACCCAGTACAGTGGTACCTCGGGTTATGTATGCTTCAGGTTACATACGCTTCAGGTTACACACTCTGCTAACCAAGAAATAGTGCTTCAGGTTAAGAACTTTGCTTCAGGATGAGAACAGAAATTGTGCTCCGGTGGCGTGGCGCCAGCAGGAGGCCCCATTAGCTAAAGTGGTGCTTCAGGTTAAGAACAGTTTCAGGTTAAGAACAGACCTCCGGAATGAATTAAGTACTTAACCCGAGGTACCACTGTACTGAAATTTACAACGCTGCTGATCAGATGTATATAGTGTAATGTCTTACCATTTCCCCTCTCTCCAGCTCTCCCTACTACCGGTAATTCATATACAATGTGTCCCCTTTTCATTTGCTTTTAGAATTTCAAGCACGCCCTGCCACCTCAATAAGACACACAGGAAGAAAGCAGTGAGCCCTCAATCTTTAACCTGGCTGAGTTCCCATAAATGATTTATAAGAAACCAAATGGCTAGAGCAGGGGGGAGGAACACAAAAGAAAAGAAACAGGGCCTACAAATTGCAGGAGGAGATTGTCATGTGTTTCCACGCCAGGCATGAAGAAAGAGTGCCATTGGTGAACAGCAAGACAGGGGCTGCACACATTTTAATCATGGAACAGAGATTGCTTTCTCCCGCTTATTAAAGGTACAAATGCCAACCAAACATATTGGAATATCTGGAGGATCAAGGACAAGTCTGGCAGCCAGATTCTACAGATCATACTTGGGAGGTATGCAAGACTGTGTGTCAGAATTGGGTCTGGACTTCAGTTTGCACAAATGAAGACAATAGGCACCCACCCTGCTGAAATGTGCAGAAAGGAAACGATAATCGCTGAAGCATACCTGAGAGCTCAAGTTAGCGGGGGGGTGGGGGTGGGGGGCAAATGAACTGATTAAGGAGACAGAACAACATTCAGGAGATCCTGATGGCAGCTTTATGAGCTCTAACACTGGGACTTATGGGGGAAAGCAGATTTTAAACATTTTGAATAAAGCATATAGTATATTTTTTGTTTCCAGGCTCAGAGCACAACTCACAGTTGCCATGTGACAGCAACAGCCCATCAGCAGGGAAACCTTATTTGCTTAAAGTTACCTTGGACTTTGCTTTACAAGGTTCTGTTGTTTGTATAACTAAATGTCACATTTAGTTGGAGTTCTGTGCACTGGAGATTATTATACTTGTTCTTGTGATGTTGCTGTAAAGACACTAACCCCCCCCCAAAAAACCCAACACATTAAGATGGTGCAGTGCCTAAATTTGAACTCCTGTAAAGCAATTATTCTTCAATTAAGCTTCATTGTAGTCATCTGGAAGCTTGAAACTGCATTTTGATTACAGAGGAGTGTGTTTCTCGTTGGCCTTTAGCTCCTTAAATTCAATTTGTTTCTGTCAGCCTAGGAGATTGAGGTATGTGAGGCACAGATGTAACACATAACCTTTGGATTTTTGTTTTTGTAGTGTTAACATTATGAAAAGCTATATGGAGAAGTCAGGCTTAATATTTACCATCACTCTTCATGATAATGTCACTCACTGAATAAAGCACTGATTTTTATTCTTGTGCTTTATAACTTGGAATTTTATTTATTTATATGATTCTTGAATCCTAAGAGGAGGCCTGTGATAGGTTTTGATGGCCAAGAACAAACCACAGTATGCTGGCATGAATATGATGTCAAATGATGGATTGCTGAAAACCAGTTAGTAACCAGTTAGTGAGTAGGGGAGGGAAGGACGGAGCACACAAGTCTGAGACTTCAGCCAGGCTTGACCTCATAGAACCAACTTATGGTTTGGTATTATGTTCAAATCTTGGTGTCAGATTGAACCACTAAAAAAATCTGACAAGTGCAACAGGGAAAACACAAAGCACATTGGCCAAACACATCTTGACATGTATGACTCACCTGTTTGACCCTCAGTACCTCCTATTTGAGAGTCTTGAGCATTTCATATGGAACAGTTTTTCTACTTAAAGATGATCCAAGCATAGGAAAATCCCCATTTATGAAGCAGACCTAATAGAAATTGAGGTACATAACTTGCATGTTATGATATTCTTGCTTACAAATGCTCTTGATTTCTAATGTGAAGGCAAAATCTGTGCTAGCCAGAATTCTTACAAATTTATCTCTTTTAGTTTCCCTTCGATTTTAACAACTGTCAGATATTCACTTAAATAGCAGCGCAGAGGCATGAAGATTATTTAAGCCCTCTAACATGGTTAAATATTCTCAGAGATGCGGTCTCAGTTGTTATGTTTGATTCATTAATTTCTTGGCCAAAAATATAATAAAATTGAATTAACTGTGCCACAGTCATATGGTGCTTAAAGTATCCTTCAGATTAGTGCTAAAACAAATCCATAGTAAAATGAGATCTAAGATGAATGTGATAAGCACTAGGAATCTTCTAAACCCATTGCTTCCCAGCCAATCCTTGTTTCTTTTCTCCTTCTCCAACTGACAAAATTCATTGCCAATTTGATACAAAGGTCTGAATACTGCCGCATAAAGCCCTAAACAACTTGGGGGCCCCCAAATATCTGAAGGAGCACCTCCTCCTCCATCACCCTGCCTAGGGAGAACAGGAGAGGATAGCTGGTAGTGCCGCCACCCTCTGTGATTGGCTGGGCAGCAGAGCATGAGACAGCCTTCTTTGTGATGGTCCCCCAAGTAGAAGAATGCCACTCTCTCCAAGGTGTATCTTGTGCCATCATTGTATGCCTTTCAACTATTGGTCAAGACACATCCATTTACTCAGACCTTTTGGTTTAGTGGATATATTCCCTCCTCTTGCATTGCTGTTCTGTGCTGCTGTTTTGATATTGGTTAGTTTACTGGTTTTCTGGCTTTGCGCTTGTTTTAATTGTGACATTTTTGTAATCCACTCTAGGATCATTTGACAACGGGCAGGCTATAAGGCCAGTATAGGAATACTTGTATAAATAAATAAAATAAGGGAAGTAAAAATTATAAATAAACTGCCAACCATGCTCAACTAACTTCTCCTACTGACCATAACATTCTGCGTTCCAAGTGATGGCCTGCCCTCCCCTCCCAACTCAAAACTCAAAGAAGGTAAATTACAAACACCCATACAGCATTTTCTCTTCAGAGACTAATTATTTTATTCTGGGAACAAATCAGCTTTCCAGATATAAAACAATAACCACCAGGTGTTATTTCTTTTTCTTTTTTAAAAATAAGAATATCAAGGAGGGGGAGTTTGCTACATGTGCACAGATAAGGTGACTGTTTTATATTTTGTATAAAAAGATAAAGATACACATTTGTAATGCTAATTCATGCTAAAACTTGCCCCCTGATCCTGTTGTTACATGGCTGCACTCTTCAAACACACTTAATTCATTTTATAAAATTTATATACTGCTCGATTGTAGAACTGGGCAAAAGCCAGCACTTTTTAATGTGTGTTTCAATAAAAACCAGAAGCAAGAAAGGATGACTCCACCTTGCACCAGCTAATTGCACCATGGATTTCAGCTACCATGGTTCCAACTATTGTCAGCACTGCGGTGGCAAAGGTCATTTTAAATATTATTTAAACATTTCTATAGAACTGGTTTGGTGTATTAAGTTGCTTTACAATTCTTACTTCATTTATCCTCACAGTAACCTTGTGGGGTAAGTAGAGTGTTGATCTTGGGAGTGGGACTGATCCTGGCCAGCACCGATATGGCCTTGGAAAAGATACTCTTGACCAGTCAAAATTATTGGGAGGTTAAGACTTCAGTTCTCTCTTGGGAGTACACTTTCCTGGGAGTAAGCCTCATTGAACAAAGTAAGACTTACTTCCAAGTAAACATGCATAGGACCAGCCTGCAAACCACCACTTTGAGAAACTTAGAAGAAAGGCAAGATGCAAACCCAGTAAACAGTCGAATATAATTATTTGTTCAAATCCCGCCCAATGGCTTTTGCAGCTCACTGGCTTTTGGATCAGGTCCTCCCATGCTCAACGTCCAAATCCACTCTGCCAACCTGGCCACTGTTTTGGAGACCTAATCACTTTAATGTAATAATTCTAGCGAATAGTCCCCCCCCCATTTTCAGTAATATCAGTAGGTTTGACTTAATGGAAACATTTGGAAATATTCATGTAAAAGAGTGGATATCAACTGCAAGACATTGCTAAAATTTTCATTGACTAAATGCGTCCTTAACTACTGCTACATTCACCAAAGCTTTCTTAGCATCATACAAAGCAGAAATGTAATTGACCAAGACAATCAGAATCCAACAACAGAAGCAATCCTACAAACCAAGTGTTTAAGCTGTTTGAAGAGAATCAACACTTGTGGCACTTTGAAGGAAAAATTGACAGGATGGGGCCAAGGCCTGAATTAGCAGCAAGTTATTTTATCACTTTCCATTATGGATTCAGAAGCTCCCAGTTCCAATGCACGCAGTCAGGATGAGATCATGTCATATGTAACCTAGATAAATTCGGCACTCGGTGGCAGGTGAAGGAGCCCAGTTTGTATAAAGCTTTAAAGCACATTGTTAACCTGTGAGGTTTTGAACCTTCCTTTTCATTTATCGATTTCGGTCCTTGCATGAAATAAGAAGTTCCTTGAGTCAGCCACTTTGTCATTGCCTTGCCTTTTGTTTCATAGCTTGCAGAGGTCCACCTGGACAAAGGTTATAAATCCCTGATCTAAAGTCAAGGTGCAGTGAAGCATCCCATCCATAAGGGGGTGCTGTCAGTTTCCAACAGTTAAAATCCCAATTATCTTCACACTCATTGAACCACCATACCAGCATTGCAATGCTAGGACTTAAATGTGCCTCCTGCCATGGCGGTCAGAGGGATAATCAGAGTGCATCCTTCTTTCTAAACTACCCAAACCAGAGGCCCAAATATGTGGCCCTCCAGTCCTCTCTGCCTGACCTTTGGGACTCTCCACAAGCCACACCCCCTTCCAAGTCACACCCACCTTGAATGTTTTTGCTTGGCAGGAATGTGCCCTTGAACTCTGATTATGCCTCTCGCTTGCCTGGATTTAGGAAGGAGAGAGGAGTATGTGAAGAAACTAGCCTACTGTACAAAGGTAAAATTTACATTTGCTGCTCCGCCCATTTTTTCCTCTGGACCCGCCCACCATTGGGATGTTACCCAGAAAGGTTTCCAGACCCAGGGGCTGGAAACGTTTTCCCACCTGGAACCAAACAGGCAATATACCCAGCTAAAATAAGCAAGTCTTGAGAGCGGTGGCTCCTTGACAGTAGCTCTAGGCATTGGACGAAACACTTTGGTGGGCATTTCCATTATAGGATTCATTTGCCTTGCAGCTGTCCTGGGCATCGTCAACAGTATCGTCTGGGGTCTTCAAGTCTGCCTTTTCCCCAGAGTTGCTGGATGCAAGAGGTTTGCATACATAGCAAAACAACTTGAAACACAGTGCCAATCCTTCTGAAATATTGGAGGAGAAAAGTTTTTTGCACGGGTGGCAAAACTGGTAGAACACGAGCATAAAAAGAACAGCTATGCAATAGCCAATCAGCAACTGTAAGACCAGCAAAGGGGCACATACATACGTGTAGACATCAGTCTTGTACATATACCACATCAGCAAGAGAAAAGCATTCTCAAGGAACCTCACAATGTAATATAAAGCCAGCCTGTACCAGTTTTGGGATTTGTCAATTAAGTCGGAATCATTCAACTTCAGCTGCACAGCTGACCAGCAAAACATATTAATACCGGCATACAGGAAAGTGAGAAGGCACAAGACAATGGCAGTGCCCACTTTGCTCAAAGCCTTCTCTATATTTTCCGGCAAAGTGCACTTACTTTGCCAGAAGAGAATCCACGGGTGAAAGAAAAAAGCAAAGAAATTCACTAGCACCACTGGGAGGATCCAGATTTGAAGGACAGAGCTGAAGAGGACCAGGACTATCACCCGAGTGGCAATCTCAAAGCTTCTCCAGAGGAAGATGCAGAGGTAGGCAGCAGGCTTCACGCTGATGTCATAATCGTCATACTTAATCTTAATGGCCAGGATGTTGCATCGCAGTGCTCCATAGACGATTGACAGGAGAGAAAGGACCATGAAGATGCCTGAGGAAAGAGAAGGCAATCAACATTTCTGAAAGCAGCCAGAGAGCATTGTATGGCAGGAACATGCTTTCATTGGAAGTGGCTGACTCAAGTGGCCTAAATTGATGCAGCTTATAGTATCTTCTTAAGCACTATCCCAGTACGCACTTTTCCTAGTCCATGTTCCTAAACCATGTAGAAACACTGATAAATGAACTGGGGCCCTCAAATGCATGCATGCTCCTTGGACCTGTGCTAAAGGCTTTCCTTGAACTATTATGTTCACACCGTGAGCATGGCAGCTCCAGGACAATATTTTAGCATGTTGGGCCTTGAGAGAAACTCCAGCATTCTCATCAGCATCAGGTACAAACCACAAAGCTATTCAAGTCTCAGCAGCTGTACTGAATTTGCTGCAAGAGCAAACTCAAGGCTTTCAGTCACTGAGCTTTGAGCGTGCAAAGTGCTAACTAGCAGCATTTCACTATTCCTCATTCAATAATACTGTGTTATTTCCATTTTGCCCACTTGGGGGAGGGGCCACAGCTAAAAAATAAATGATAGCAACTTCCTAATTCTGTAGTTGAGATAGGCGTTGAACCAGGACCTTCTGGGATGCTTCCCATCTTAACAAACAGAGGGTGACTGTCTTAACTCAGTTCCCCTTCCACAGGCACAAATGTTTTTACTTCAATGAGTAATACAGGCTTCCTCAACCTCAGCCCTCCAGATGTTTTGAGACTACAATTCCCATCATCCCTGACCACTGGTCCTGCTAGCTAGGGATCATGGAAGTTGTAGGTCAAAAACATCTGGAGGGCCGAGGCTGAGGAAGCCTGGAGTAATACATGCCAGTTGCTTCCTGGGATTCAAACGGTGGGCAACACTCAGATGCCCAATTCCCTCAGGGTTTTGTTTTAAATTCAGGCAGGGTGTTGCAATCAAGAGGGGTGTCTCTGCCACATCCTCTGGTTCTCCACATCTTAATTACATCCTTTGAGGTGCTTTGCACTGAATGGGCAAACAGGGTGGCAGGGAGAGAGATGAATGACACAATACTAACCATCACAGTGTTTGGGGTACCTCTGTGTGGGTAGAGCTTTGAATGATGACCCATACTCATGAATTCTGTCACCAAGCTATTGGAAGTTCAATACAATCTAATATAGTGTTTCACATACACTGCAGTCTTGAATCTACTCTCTTTGGATTATCCTGTTGCAATGTGAATGAAATTAAATCAACAAGTTGAGTCTAGCCCATTCATATATAACGCTTGCTTTCTCCTAAAATATGGGTCCTTGACTTGTTATGGGAAAAAATGTGCAAGTGCTTTCATAGAATAACAAGACCTTGCAAGAATGTATTTCGCTTGTCATTCAGGTGCTCCAAATATATCTACATACAGCAATTATCTTTCAGTGGAGTGAAGAACGGGGATATTATTTTGATGAAGTCTTAATGCTTGGGTTGTGTGTTGTTTTTTTAATTGTTGCTTTGCAGATATTAGGGTTTTTGTTATTTTTGAAAAACACACACTTGAAGGTCATTTTTTTTAAATGCAAGTACTGGATTTCTTTTGCCACTCAAACTGGTTTTTCAATGTATTTTTAAACCAATACTGGACTTGTTCCAGACCATTCATTTCAGCGATATCCTGCCAGAAACTGCTTTGTTACCTTCCCATAGCTATGTCAGGTGGAGATTATTTCAGATTACAACTCCCATTATTACTCAAACCGTACATCAAAGGAGCAACCAAGCAAGGCAGCAGCGCAGGGCTGTCACTTGGTTGGGGCGGTGTCAGGGACTGTGCCAAGGCTTTGCAGTCAGGGTGATTGGAGACACACTAGAACAGCCTGAGGGCCACACCTGGAAGTGGAAATTGTATGGCGAGTTGCAAATCCTCAAGAAGCAAACTATACCATCATAATGACACATTACAATAACGAAACCAAACGTGCCTCCTTTTTGAGTGAAACTTGGCCCCTCCACCTGCCACCAAAGCTGCAGGAATAGGCAAATCACTCCTTCTGTCCTCCTCACACTGCTAGCCAAGGCTCAGACAGGAAGCGGGGGCTTACGGCACCCCATTCCTCAGCCTCTTTCCAGCAAATCCTCCACTAGTGGCTGGGAGAGAAAGAAGAGATGCTGCTTTCTCCTTAGCCTGCCGCTCTGGCAAGGGCCACAGAAGGCGGGGTTCCCGTCCCCTCAGCGGCTCTTCCGTTGAGGGAGTCTTGGCAGGTGCAGGTTCCCGCCCTTGTCCCATTGCTGCAGCCCTGTGACAGCCTCTCCACCCCCGAGGCCGGTCACCCTGACTGACGTGCACAAAGGAATCCTGAATTGCTGCACGTCCTGCTAAGTTACCTTCTTTTGACTGTGTCAGTAAAAATTTTACATTTTGCTCCATACTTGCGAAAAGACTGGCAACTGACCACACACTCAAAACTAAAAGGAACAAATGAAATAAAATTATGAGTATAGCAGAAGAGCCAAATTATCAGAAGAGGCAAAATTCTGAAGCCCTTCTGAATTTAGGACCTTAAATTCTTAACCTTAAAAAATAATTTGTGTGTGTGTGAGAGAGAGATGAGAGATTTAGGAGGGTGGCAAGATTTAACCACTTATTTTTTAAAATATATACAGTATGTGTGTGTGTGTGTGTATATAAAATAAAATTAAAACAGGAATTCAGTAGATTTAAACAAATAAAAACAGGGTCTCACGGGGTCACAGAGGGAACTCAGGACTCAGCAATCTTTTTCTATTATTTTCTTCCTGTTTTGACTACTTATTTGTGCTTTTATCTTGTATTTTTATCTTGTGAACCACCTTGAAGGGTAGTATGTAAATCTAATAGATAAAAATAAATAATAAAATAATGCCAGCATCCTAGAGCATTTCACTCTTTTGTAGCAAGACCAAAGTCTCAACTGGATCACATTGCATTTCTAACCCACCTAACCTCCATGACAGATCTCAAGGTAGCATACATTGGTTCCTGGGTGATTTCCCATCCAGAGACCCCAAACCACTTACCTACAGCTAGCTTCCCATATCATATGTTTTCTGATCATAACCACTCAGAGGGGAGGAAAGGAGTAAATGGAGGGGAGGGGAGGTTGCAGTGGGGAGAAGGAAGGCAGGGCTTGTCTCTACTATATACAATCTGGGAAGGTGGGCCAGTGAAGAAGGAAAACAGTAGCTGGGGATGCAAATTATTTGCCCCCCCCCCCAGTGACTGCTCTCTGAGATAGTTGTCACATTTTATCCAATGAACTTGGATCTAGTCATTTCATCTTAGTTTCTGAAAGGAAAGTGTTTGCTAGATGCTCAATTGGTTGCCCTGCGGAGAATGAAAATGCCAATTTACACATTATGTGGCAGCCCAAATCCATTTTGCACAATAACTGGAAGTTCCAAAGAAGTGGGTGTGTGAGTGATCCACACTCTTGGTTTTTGATTTTTTACATTGCCCATGAAGAGGATACTTGCACTACAAGATATGCAAGTTCCAAATGTATGTATGATAATTTATGCATCTCGAGGAAACGGCTGTTGCATGTAGAAGGTCCCAGGTTCTTCAATCAACGGCATCTTTAGGTAGGCTTGGGAAAGACTTCCTGTCTGAAACCCTGCTGCCAGACAGCGTGGGCAATGCTGAGTTAGATGGACCAATGGCTGCCACAGAACAGATGCTCACGATTGGCTATTACAATAGGGCATGAGTCACCTGCACATCAACTTTATGTGCTTTATCTAAATGTACTTACACTGCCCGGGGGAGGGGGGGGGAATGCAAGACCAGTTGAGTGACTAGCTCACCACAACTGCTCCATTTATTTTAATTTAATACTTAGCAACCATCCACTTGCCTGCGGTCATCAGGATTTTTGGTTTATTAATCTTTCAGGGCCACATTCACTGCTATTTCAACGTACTCCTGAGACTTGTTTAACTTTAAAGCAATTAATCTCTGGACATGAGTCTGAAAGTGCTAAAGTTAATTTCAGACCTCTAATAGGATTTCCCACACATATACTCTTGTAACCCTGGGTGTCTTCAAGCTGCTCCTTTGAATTAATTTTCACATAGAATGTGTCGCAAGAAGTTGTCTCTATATCCAGATCCCCTAATGTAGATCTGGAACGGTTTACCATATTATATGTATTTCTGCTGCGAGACAAAATTACGCTCTTCGCTTGTTTGCAACAACAGCATTCTTAGTGACTCCTCCCCAAGCATCACTGCAAGCAAATATTTTAAACATAGTTTTAAAAATCAAGTAGCCAGCTGTGTGTGTCCATAGAAGTTTGTTAACATTTGAAAAAGGCTAAGACTGGGGTTGGCAACCTAAGGCCCATGGGCCACAAGCAGCCCACGGGGGTCATTTAAACGGCCCATGAGCCACCCCCAAACCGAGCCACCCGCTCAGCAAGTCGCCCCCCCCCAGCACGGGGACTCACTTCCACAACACTGAAAATTGCATCTGCATGGACGCAGATGCCGGAAATCGTGGGTGTGTGCGCAGTCCGGCCCACGGAAAGATCTCCTCTTGAGTGAACCAGCCCAGGTGAGGTAAACCTTGCCTACCCCTGGGCTAAGTGTGGTGTAGTGGTTAAGAGCGGTGGACTCGTAATCTGGTGAACCGGGTTCGATTCCTCGCTCCTCCACATGCAGCTGCAGGGTGACCTTGGGCTAGTCACACTTCTCTGAAGGCTCTCAGCCCCACTCACCTCACAGAGTGTTTGTTGTGGGGGAGGAAGGGAAAGGAGAATGTTAGCCACTTTGAGACTCCTTTGGGTAGTGATAAAGCGGGATATCAAATCCAAACTCTTCTTCTTCTTCTTCTAAGATGTCCTGTTAGTATGCTCCAAGCAGCTAAGATTAGGGATGAGATATTACAGTGAGGAGTCTTGGTGTCATTGTTTCTACTTTTATTAATTAAGCACTGGGGAGAAAATGCATCCCTAGGGATGGGAAACCTGTTATCTCCAGGTGTTGCTGGACCACAGTTCTCTCATCTCTGACCTTTGCCCATGCTGGCTGGGGCTGACAGGAGTTGGGAGTTCTCTTCTCCCTGCTATAATTTGTAGAAGGGCTTTCTGCTTCTTATAACCTAGTCTGTAACTTTTAGTAAAGAAGCAGTCTGTGTAATTTATTTGCTATATTTATGTAAAGCTACTCAATAACATTTTTCTCTGGTTGGCTTTCAGCACAAAAATGACAGTAGTACAATTAAAAACGTAATAGCCTACATTAAATATCAAATTGCATCCTAAAGATTTCTGGCGCACACATTTCCAACAAGGAGTAGAGTAAAAGCAAATAAATATATATTTACAGCACATACACAGCGATTCAGAACACTAAAAGGACAGATTTTGAAAAGGGCTGGGGGGATTTTAACAAGTCTTCACCTGGTGCCAAAACAACCATAAAGTAGGTCATTAACCATTTCCACCTGCATCTGGTTTCCTAAATAGCTCAATAAGGGAGAGGATATAGTTATTATTTACCCATAATCCCTATCTCTAAACACTCACCAAAATGGAATACTGAAAAATGTACCAATTATACATACTTCTGGCTGCCGTCATCTCCTGCTGTAGGACACATATGTACAGCTGAAGCGTCAGCTGTGGTGCAGAGCCTAGGAAAGCTTGGATCACTGATGCCCGACTAAACGCAGATCTGTGTGTAAACAGCTTGCCCTCAGCTTGGCCCACTTCCTTCTCAACTTCTTCCGAATGTCCATCTTTTGGCATCTGTCTCTTCTTAGTGATGCTGACATAAGGCTCCTCTATTCTGCCTGCATGAAAGTAAATATAAAAAACCTCCACGCACCTGTGGGGGGAAATGGACAAGAGTAGATGTTGCTTTATAGGTGGTATATTACACCTGTGAAATTAGCTAAAATGTGTAAGACAAATAATAAATGTTGGAAATGTAAAAAAAAGAAGGAACATTTTATCATATGTGGTGGGAATGTAAGAAAGTAAAAAACTTCTGGGAAATGATATATAATAAGATGAAAAAGATGTTGAAATATACATTTTTTTAAAAAAACAGAAGCATTTTTACTTGGTATTATAGGTGAGGACATTAATAGGCAAGATGTTAAATTGTTTTTATATGCAACAATAGCGGCAAGAGTATTGTTAGCCCAGAAATGGAAGCAAGAAGAAATCCCGATGAAAGAAGAATGGCAGACAAAATTAATGGACTACGCAGAATTAGATAAAATGACAGGAAGGATTCGAAACCTGTGGGACCAGAGATTCACAGAAGATTAGAAGAAATATACGAATTATTTGAAGAGCAACTGTAATCAACAAATTACGCTAGTAGGACTAAAAGAAGTTTTGTAAGGAGAAATATATGAAACATTGCAAAATAGAGATATTAGTTATTAGATTTAAATGTAATAGTGGAAGTAAGAAATGTAAATTAAGTGAATAGATTGGAAAATTTTCAGATGTGATTGATGTGAAGTAAAAAAAATAAGATATAAGATATAAAAGTTAATTATTGTTGAAAACGATATGTTGAAAAACTAATTATATATAGAGAGAGTAGACATAACATTTGAATGGGAAAAAAGAGTAGATGTTGCTTTAACATAACTCTTCTGAATTTCACGATTGCTTTTAAGTAGGATCTCTGATTAGAAAGAAGTTAAGGTGGGCATGTGAAACACCCCTTTAGCCCATTCTCAGGATTCTGAAATTCATGGGTGGAACTCAACTACCATGCCTCACCAGCACAAGGGTGTCCACTTGCAAAGGGAGAAGAGGGGAAGAACATTCCATTACGCAGGTAGAGATCCTTTTGCTGATGGAATATATGTGTTGCACTAAGCTGTACACAACTCCACATAATCACAGAAAGGACTACTGTATGGTGTCCTATGGAGAACACATTCTTGACAGGTCCCTGCCCAAATTGTTGTTGAAAACATTTAAGAAAAGACATTCTGCAGCCTACTTAGGAAGTTAATATGTATTATTGTTGTATAATAACATTTTAATCACTATTAATGTGCAAACACATAGTATAATAGTGCAAAAATAAGATGTGTAAACTTGATGGCTAATTCACTTAACTGGCTTTCCCTATGTCAAGAGTTCCTACAATCACCATGGCCAATTGAGAAACCATGGAACGATTGCTCTGATGCAGTACTACCAAATGCTTCCAGTTCAGGCTCCTTATGTGCAGCTGTGTATATGGACTTACTCTTTGAAGTTACTTTATTGAAACATGGTAATTTTTGGGTCAACAGCAGAATACCTAGGGAGACGGAAATGTTTTTCCAGAGCTTAATATTTATTAATTAACATTGCATTTATACCCCACCTTTTATTTAGAAAGCAAGGAGGGGATTGCTGGCAGGTGATGGCATACATCCATAATATTAGAAAAGTTTTGGATAACAGTATTAGGCCCTGTAAAACATTGCTATGTTATCCCTCCCTCTGCTCCCCCCCCCCAATTTGGTGTTTGATTTGCATGTACAATTTGGCTTCAGGAACAAACTGATAAGAAACTTGATACTGCTCATGCTTCTTTGCTTGAAGGGATAACTGCCACAATAGTTAATGATTTATCAAATTTATTTATTTCTGTTAAAGTGTATACCCTGCCTTTCTAGGCACAAAATTCCATTCTGGGTGGCTTACAATGTCATCAAAGTTGAGATATGATATATTCAGAGAGCAATAAAGGGTAACAAAAGCAATTTAAGTCTTAAGGCACCTTAAAGACTAAGACATTTTTATTATGCCATGAGCTTTTCTCTCTTTTTTTGCTGCAACTGACCAATCACAGTTACCTGAAATTAAAAACAACAGAAACAGAAAGGAAACAGATAGAATAATTTGTTAGGAAAATACTTGCTGAAACAATACATGCTAAAACAACACAATTTACCTCTGGGTGGTGAGAGAGAGAGAGAGACTTGAAAATGGCAAATTGCTTCCAGGATGATGACGTGTGTGGGTGGATATTTTTTAAAAAAATAATAAAATCAAAGCAGTTTGATTTTGGCATTACTACGTTATTATTCTGTTATTATTATGTTAACAAAAAACAAGGTGCCTAAAGAGGAGGTTATAAATATTTTCAGTAGATAAAAATAGATTTGAAACATCCACAGTTTCTTCTGCTTCAATTTTCAAAGAGTAACTGTGTGTGGTCCACAAGAAACTCAGCCTCCTTCCCCTTTATTTAGTCTTACTCACAAGCTGAAACATTTTCACTCAACCCAAAAGGTAGAGACTACTCAAGATGTGTGAACCTGTTATATTCTCAGGACCAGCTCTCTCACCACTGCCTCCCTTATTCCAATACAGCTTTCCAGAAGCACACTCTACAGATGGGCGTGCCTGTGACCAAACGCAGGCATGCTTCTCTGCCAGTTACTGCTCACAGGCAAAGCCAGAGCAGGCAGCTGTGCAGATAGGAAGCATCACAGACCCTTAACCGCACACAGTACAGATCCATTAACATGCATGGCGAGGGAGGGAGATTTCCAAGCATATAAAAGGAGACCATGTCCTGATGGATGCAGCAAACAGCTTAACACACAAAAAACCCCAACACTTTTAATTCACTATAAACAAAATGGTCCTTTATCTTGCACATCTGACCCAACAAAGAGCTCTTGCGCTATCTTAATGGTCACAATTCCCTATCCAGATCTCTCGGCATAGAATCTACCACTGAAGCGATCTATTTTTTAATTAACAATAAGGCTGGAACTGGTCCCCAATTCAGGCACTCGAGTGTGTGTCCAGCATTCTGAGATGTCTGACAGCCATTGTGGGGCGTTGCTCTTCCAGCGCAACTGGGGCGGCGACCCCCTCCCCTGACCCCCTTTCCGCCCCCGGCCAGGTCCTTCGCCTGCAGGAGCACCTGCGGGGATCGGGGCCCACGCCCCCCACCCACCTGACGAGGGGTCCCAGCTGCAGGATGTGCAGGAGCAGCACGAGCGGCCTGTCCTTGCTGAGGTCTCGGTGGATGAAGACGAGGCTGAACTGGACCAGCACGCAGGGCAGCAGCGCGAAGAGCAGCGTCAGCGACTGCCAGATGCGGTCGCCCGCCGAGCGGTAGGTGCTGCTCAGGTACAGCGCCAGCGCCGTCTCGGCCACGAAGAGGAAGAGCGACACCAGCACCGAGCCCGGGAATTTCATCGCCGCCGGCGGGGAAGCCGGCCGGGCAGCGGCTCAGTCAGCGGGCAGGAGCAGGGCAGGGCTGGCCACGCGCGGAGCTCCGCAGCCGAGGCCGCCAGCTGCCCATCTCCCGGAGCCCAGCGAGGAGCCAAGCTGCCGGCGGGAGACGCCCGAGCCGCGCCTTCGCCAAGCGCCCGCTAGGGGGCTGGCCTGGGCGAGCTGCTGCTGCGGCGCCGGCCGCCCAATTGGACGAGGCTCGCTGTCTTCGGCGGCGCTCGAGGGGATGGCGGAGGAGGATCCACGAAAGAATCCGAAGTGCCGGGCCTGGAGTTGCGAAAGCTGCCGTTGTCTCCTAGACCCGGGTCCTTGGTGGGTGGGTGGCTGCATGCTTGCGGCTCCCTCCCCAGTCGAGAAGGTCGCTCTGTACATACGCAGGGGCGCTCTTGTTCACCTGTCTTCTTAGATTCCAAGGCCTGGGCCTGGCTCAGGTTAAGCTCAGGGGTAGCCCATCCTAGTCTGTACCAGCAGCAGGACAAATTTGAGTAAAATGTTGGGGGAGGGGGCAGGTAAGCCCTGCCACACATAATCAATCACAAGTCACCACACATGCTCAGCATTCGAATGGCAATGCCCATTGACCTTGCTGGTGGCAACCCCCTGAAATATTTTATTGGGGATTTGGCCCCTTAGGAGTTGGCTGGTATATTTGCTACTAGGATCGCCATCCTCCCACCAAACCAGAGACATATTAAATATGCTTTTAACTTATGCCTGACAGGCAGAAATTCAATGGGTGGCCATTGCCTGTATTTTCCCAGAGATAAGAGACTCCACCTGGTGTATTTTTTAAACGCCAGATGAGCCTCGCCAGAAAAGCTGGCAACACCACTTACCAGGAGAGGATTCAGGTTCAGGTATCTGCCCAGGCATGAGGCAAACTGGATAGTCTCTCAGGCTTGGCCCCATATGGTTGCCGTGGGGATAAAATGGGTGGGGTGAGGTCCATGCACACTGTGGCAATTTGAGGAAAGGCAAGATAAAAGTAGGCCACTCTTGAGAACAGGGGGCTGAACTAAATGGTTCATTGGTCTGACTCCACAAGGCTCCTGTGTACATATCTTAAATATGCGGTCTATTACAGAGCACAAAGGTAAGTCCCTCTGAGTTCAATAGGACTTAATCCCTAATAAATGCTAAGGTTTGGAATTGTTTACTAAACATTCCAACAAGGTGCTTTTAGTGGACATGACTCTCCACTGTTTCCTTGTTCTGCATTACAGGTTTCTCACTCCCTGGTCCTATTTACATATTTGAACAACTACCACTTTCCTCACAGCTTGTATTTGAACTTTATGACCAGCGTTTGGGTGGAGCTTTCTGTGCCAAGGTGGCCTTACAGCTCAAGCTGTAGTACAAAGGTAAGCCAAAGGTAATTGTTTAGTTTCGACTTTTTAATACAAAGAAACGACACCAATCAGGAGCCCTATATATAATCACCTCCCACGCCAGAACAAATAGTTCAACCACACATACAGACTTACAAAAGAAAAGCAAACACTCAAACCACAAAAGACCGGTTTTGTTTTTTAGAACAGCTGATTTTTAAAAACATTTTTTTTGTAAAGAAAAAGAGAAATGTAGTTGACATTCCACAAGCACCTACCTTGGGTGAGATTCAACATTGTGCCTGAGTGGAAACAGCAGGACTCTCCTACTTCACCTCCCCCGCAAGCTCCCCAAGCTCTCAATCTGCTCTGGAGGAGTCCCAACCCCCTGGAAGAGATTTTAGGGGGTACAGCAGGTTCTGGGAGAAGCAGAAGACCCATTTGTGCAAGCAGGAGTCCATTGCACAAGGGATGTCTGGATATCATCACCCATCAGTGTCACTGGAAATCCATTTCCTTCCACTCTGAGAATTGTTTGAAGTGTATGAAACTGTAAGCTGCACAGGTGTGCATGCCCCATTGTCACCAGTGGCATATGGTCAGTGGACTAGGGGGAAATAGGTAGGCTAGTCCCTTAAATGTTCCTGGTAAATTAAGAGTATTAAAGCTTTAAGGCCTGGTGCTTCCTTCCCAAAGCCTGGGAAGCTTCTGCCCAGCTTAGGGAGGGAGGTGCAATGCTCACACATAGGACATCACCCCCCCCCACCCCACATCACCTTCGCAAGCTGGTGCCTCTGGTCCCAACTGTTGTCCTACGAAAAATTTCACTGCATGACACCCTGCTGACAGCATTTCTGCCTGCCTCACGCTGTTGGTGGATTACTTTATCCACAAAGTGGCTTGCAGGCAGATCACTGTGGCTTCCAAAGTGTCTAAAAATTCATTCCCTGGAGCAGCTGGTGTTATACAAATCTCACCATCCCTCTTCTCTGACCTTGCTGGCTGGAGCTTATGAGAGTTTGAGTCCAACAACATCAGGAGGGAGAGAGGTGCCCCCATCCCTCTCCCAAACGACAGTTTAGCATTGTATCTGTACTGGCCCGTTGTTCCAATAAATACAAAATAGCCACAATACAGTTATACTTTATTTGAATTAAGGCAAAATATCACATAGGTTAAATATAAATAGCATGGATACATGGAGTTCTTCTCTCATTGCTAAGCCAATATTCTGATCACAGCTTTTAAAAGCTAAAAAACAACAACCCTATTTTAACTATCCCTCCAGTGTACAATACAAAACGAGTACAAGAGACACGCTTTGAAATATCACAGTGTTTAAAACATGGCATGGACTTTTATTTAAGGTGCGATTCTACAAGAATAAATCAAGTTTGTTTGGTAAAGAGACGATATATGACACTGAGCAGGTATCAAAGCAGAGGGTTTTCAATACTAATGAAATGACTACCATGTGCTGAAAGAAATGGACAGAGGTAACTAATAAAGGGTACATATCAGCAACATGAAAACATTTCTTCTTGCTCTTTGCTGGTTCTCAGATATACACATTACTTTAAGACTACCTCATGCGCATTGCCACCAGCTTGTGGCTTTGCCAGCACATGAACTTGTTAATGGACGTTTGCGAGAAGACCTCTGGTCTTTACTAACATTTTGAGCTTGAATCTACTTCAGTCAATGCCAACATTTATAGTGATAATGCTGCGACGTCTGTTTATTGAATTTCTTCCCTCTACAGGTGCATTGATCACCCTTATTTTGTCACTAACTGAAGTCACTACTTATTCACCCAGGCTTTTGGTTGATACTGAGGTATGGTCAAGGGTCATTGTGTGCGCTGGTTCTGTGGTCTGCAGTACTCATGTGGGGAGCTGCAATCCTCTGATTTTAGTTACTTTAGTATTTTTTTTGTATCCAGTGGTTATTCTTAAGTTATTCTGTTCTTTTATTGTTGTATTATGAACCCCTTGTCATCCTATTTGGATGATGGGCGCTCTAAAACAAACAAATGACAAAATCACCCTCAAAGGCAATGCATTAGGTGTGGCATGGTTTTCTCTAGTCAGGGAATATTCATTGATAGGAAGCTGTATAAATGTAATCATCTTCATCTTCACAGTGATGTGCTTAATTCCAAGTAAGTGTTCCCTGACACATCACCTTTTAGGACTGAAGATCCCCTCTGCACTACATATTTAAAACAGCATTATACCACTTTCACTGTCATGGCTTTCCCCTAAAGAATCCTGGGAACTGTAGTTTGGGGAAAACCGTGATGGTATGATACTGCTGTAGAAGAAGAAGAGGAGGATGGATTTGATATCCTACCCTAAGGAGTCTCAAAGCGGCTAACAATCTCCTTTCCCTTCCTCCCCCACAACAAACACTGTGAGGTGAGTGAGGCTGAGAGACTTCAGAGAAGTGTGACTAGCCCAAGGTCACCCAGCAGCTGCATGTGGAGGAGCAGGGATGTGAACCCGGTTCACCAGATTACGAGTCTACTGCTCTTAACCACTATGTGTAGTGCAGATGAGGCCTAAGTGATTTTGTGGAAGTCTTTGTTTGTATTTCTGAGCTCCTGCCAAAATAGCCCCAAATAGAGGCTCAAGCCCACTATCACTGTATTCTTTTCCCTCCATCAGGGAAATAGCAACAAGGATTAACACAGAATGTAATGGTTGAGATTAGTTTCTTTCTACATGTAACAGAGGGATTTAAGAATATTATCCCCACTGTATATATTATACAAATATTGTATAGAAAATATTTTTGGTCTATCACTATATAACCTTACTACATTATAAATATTTTTGATCAGCAAGCAGCACTCTGCTTCGTAAAATAAATATTAAATATCATGGTCTGCTATACCATATTGCTTTAGTTAAACTTAACTGATAACCAATTACTATCAGGGTTAACATGTGAAAACTACAATTTTCAAAATGTGAGGAGCATGCACAGAGACCTAAAAGCAATAATGTGAGGAGCATGCACAGAGACCTAAAAGCAATAATAACTTTGATAAACTTCATCCAGAAGTATAATAACAGCTCTCTTCAAATAACATAGCTATGTTATCTACAGTTTGTAAACACAAGAATATTTTTTTTTATCACAATATTGTTCACTGAAAATATGCACTTAAGTATATATACAAATTCATAGCACGAGGGACTACTAGCAAAGTCTGTATGAACAGAAATTATTCATCAGTACACACAAATTATGATAAAATCCTGCTATAATTGAAGTTGATATTCAAGGCAATTCAACTCTTTAAGTGCAGTATATGGGGAATAAATAGTTGTATGATGAAACAAGATTTGTGCTGTTTTGTTGGAATACGCCTAGCCACATCCCTAAAAATGCTGTATTGTTTCATGGGCCCTGAGTATTGCTGGCTTATGGCTTTGCAGTATGTATGCTTTTCTCTCAGCAGTATAAGACTTTTTTTGGTTATTTTCTAAGGCCGCGATCTTAAACACATTAAACTTTGAGAGATTCGCTTCTGAGAAAACACTCTAAGGATTGCGCTTTAAGGCTGTGATCCTATGCATACTTACTTGGGTTGGGAATAAGTCCCACTGAACTCACTGGAACTTGCTCCTGAGGAAATGTGCACGGGATTGCACTGTAAGTTTCTTGCCTTGAAATTACCTTCGCGCTGGTAGCTACTTAGCCAATTGTATTGTTGCAAGAGCAAGTCAGTGTCAAGGGCTGCGATATCAGACTGAGACAGGACTTTGTGTAGCTCCTTGTGTATTTGTTGGCTTAGCTTCCCATTATATTGTGGGCTTATTATATTTGTTAGCCTTATGTATTTCTTTGCTGAAATTTTATTTTCTGTATACCCAACAGATCCTGACTATGGTATGCATTCTATATTCATGTCACAGAGGTGGGAAGCTCACACTCTACTGAATACACCTGGGGCAATACAGTTGTACCTTGGAAGTCGAATGCAATCTGTTCCACAAGTCCGTTTGACTTCCAAAACATTCGGAAACCAAAGCGCGGCTTCTGATTGGCTGCAGGAAGCTCCTGAAGCCAATCAGAAGCTGCAGAAGCCCCGTCGGACTCCAAAAGAACATTAAAAAACCGGAACACTCACTTCCGGTTTTTGATCATTTGGGAGCCGATTTGTTCGGGAGCCAAGGCGTTCGAGATCCAAGGTATGACTGACTTCAGAAAGTAAGAAGTGGAAGCATAATATGTAAATCTCCTAAGAGCCTTTCTAATAAAGACAAATCCGTAAAATGATTTTACATCCTTCTTCATCTATGTTTTTAAAATGTGCACTTGGGCCTCCTTTACTTGACCACGTGGGATTGCCTTAGGAGATAAGCTGCTGGACTGGACATATTCCCTGTAAATTCTATTTTCTCCTCCAGTCAACAATTTGAATATAATATAGTATAGTGGTGGCTGTTTGCCTTGGCTGAGGAATAAGAGTTCATACACAGACTAGTACTGAAATAATATTATGTGAAGAGGCGGACAGTGGCACTTCTCCCTGAAATAAGTTACATGGCACAACATCAAAATGCAGAGAGATCAAGGGGGAGAAGCTGCTTTCCCAGCCCCCACAGAATATTTGTAACATTTAAAAACAAAGTGTGGGGGAAGGACATTATAAGCAAAGCTAGGACCACAGTATTCCTAGCAAATTTTAAATCTGTAGAAAAAGCAATAGGTATTTACCAACATGTACATATCTGGTACTAAAACAATAGCTCAGCTCTAATGAAAAATGCTAGTACAATATTTCATACTTTTACTCAAGAATTCTACATTTAGTTAAAATAGCTGGCTTTACTATGATCTGAAGATTGTTCCTCATGAGTCACAAATGGCCATAGCGCCTTAGGGGGTGATTTACACACGAGGATGCAGGAAACATACATCACAAATAGGCACACAAGATATGGCAAAGACTAATAACCCATATTCTTTAAGAAAGCATAATTAAAACACATTATATTACTTAAACTTCTATTTATCCACACAGAGAAGCAACCTAGTACATTTAAGAATTTAACCTGGGCTGAAATCCTAATCACACTTTCTTGACAGCGAGTCCTACTGAACACAAAGGACTTCTAAACAAACATGTAGGCTTGGATTCCTACAAGATCTTGCCTTGTTTCAGTCTGTTTTTGCAATTTTAGGTAGATGTTACATATTCCTGAAATAACTACTATATATAGTTGTTTATTAGTATTTGATTTGTATACTGCCAATGGCGCGTTGGGGGGGGGCACAATTTGCACCAATTCTACTTCACTCCCTTAGCATCCTGAAAGCAGAACATCTTCCACAGGGAGCCTTAGCTTCAATCCAAGGGGATATTGTTTAATATATTTTATGAAACCAAATGTAGCTCATCAGCAAAGATTATTTTCTTATCCTATGAGGACCCGTGCAGTAAGAAGCACCCATCTCTGTTGCAGGATTTTGCAATTTTACTATAGCTGAGGGTTAGAATGACTTGTTATAGAGGGGAGAAAACCTGTTGCCAAAGAGGTAAGCAAAGGCAACAATTTCACCTGCCTACACTGGGAAACAGTGACCTAGAATTGAGGTGGGGAACCTCTCTCCCTGCAGGTGTTGCTGGACTAGCACCTTTCATCCCCAGCCAACAATGGCAGAGTTCCCATCTCTTAAGGGCACTTAGCCATTATGGGTTAGTCCTTGCCAGGAGGCTACAATGGAGCTTGATTCCTGCAAGGTACGTAAAATGGGCTTTATTTGAATGTCTACTGCCTTCTACACTCCATCTTAAGACTCTTGCTGGGCGGCTTTCTCCCAGGTTGTTGCCACCTAACCTGATGAAGAATTCTGGGGAGCTCAAAACCCGGCATGCTCTTTTGTGGCATTTTGGTTGGCCTAATAAAGACATTGTCCTAATATGAATTTCTGGAATATGTCAAAGATGTTTGACAGTTTTACTTTTCTCATTGCCTGCCTTCCCCAAAAGAATGTGCCAATGTACCATAAAAATATACTTTTTGTGTGCTTTTAAATAATGCATTGTTCACATTTCTCCCCCACTTGCACTTCTCTGAAATCCAAATTTGCATTTTGTCCTTTAACCAATCTACCTTGTGGAAGACAGAACGCTGTCAGTTTTTGTGAACTTCATTTAACTTCCCTTAATTCATCTGAATTTTGATTCCTTTTCAGTTTTGTAAAAATGCCAGACCCTTTTCTAACCTTTGAATAAAATTGCTACCTATTATTTATAAACCACATGCTTCCCTTCCCAAGCCCCAGAATATATATGTGTCTGTGTGTTAAACCTGCTCTCCCCACCCCGCAACGTTAAGGCTATCTCATTAGTGGCAATGCAGAAATGGACATATTCTAAAATCGCTTTCCTTGATAGTGAACTGAAACAGTGCCTTTGTCCTGTCCCGGCAGTGGAACATGTTCCATTTTACACAAAGACACTGAAGAGGGGGAATTCAGCTTGGTTAGGCTGTAGCAAGTCAACCAGGAAGCAAACTGTCCCTGAGAAACCTTCATACAGACTGTAAACACTTTCCAGTTCTCGGGATCCAGCCTTAAATTCTTCAGTAAACAAGAATTCAGCAAACCTAAGGAGAAGAAGAAATCAAGACAAAAAAGAGAGAGTTACTCTGTACAGTAACGTCAACATGTTGCTATTTCAAGCCGGATTCAAAATTGTCCTCAGTTTGGAACCAGACTTAATCAAATGTGTTCTTATGTGTTATGGACAGATTCATTCCCTGGCTGTGTGGTCGGCTGCATCCAGACCATTTTTAAACCACCCCAGACCTCACACATGGAGGGGACACTGGCACTGCTGCATTGCTGCAAACTCCTCAGCCCGCCAGAACCCACTAACTTCGATGCAAGAGTATGGCAGCGATATAACTGCTAGCACATTTACAAAGCTAAGCTAGGTCTTGGTATGGTTTCAAATTGGATGGGGGACCACGTGTTGAGATTCAGACATTGAACTAGGTGACCTTCTGGATCTTAACTTGAGCTCCATAGATCGGGGAGATCACAAAACTCCATTAAGGACAGTGGTGTCTTGGTACCCACAGAAAACCCCCTCAAACTCTGATTGCAGTTTCTACCAAAACCTTTACTACTCATATCTCTATGATACAAAAGCAAAGTAACAGACACATCCCCACCCATGCTGAACCAGCAAATGTGTGTTTTGTTTTTAGGGTTTTTGGTTTTTTTGCAATTATCATGAAATGCATCCAAGACCAAGCCTTCAAAGGATGAATCTCTTTGGGATTAAAAACTGTCCCAGCTTCCACAGCTGTGGTGCAACCTTCGAAAGCATCCTTATGTGTCCTTCCTGCCTTAATTTGATGCAGAAATTAAGAGAGTGCTCTTGGCTGATCGTAGAGATAGCAAGAAAAAAGAGTGGAGGTTTTCTGTGGTGAAAATAAGCCTATGTCTTGTTATGATAGCTACTTCCCAAAGCCAAACTACAAAATACTACTTCAGAAACTTAAGATACCAAGATTTAGATAACAATCCATATATATATATATATATATATATATATATATATATATATATATATGTATATATGATTTTCCAGTATCATTCCAATAGCCTCATTACAACAATATTAATTTTATCCAGTTAATACAATTATTAATGCCAATTATTCAAGTGTCAAATTATATAATTTAATTAAACTGGCCCCCTCGCATGCTAGAGTTAATGAGTTCATTCTTCTACATTTCTTCTGCATTCCAAAATTTCGATAATTTCCATCACATTCCATTCAGATATAATAATCTCTTATATAGCAGCTTCAACATTGTGATTTCTATTCATGTTGGTATAACAGATAATTTGTAAAGTTTCAAGTGAGGAACTTTAGCTATAATCCTTATTCTTTCCTGTGTGTGAAAGTTTTTTCCATGATGTTTCCCCATCCATATATGGTGTTGTATTGTTCATTTCTGCAACTGTTGATGCGTCCCATCATGCCCCAGGAGAAGCTGTTATCTCACAGTTTCAAAAAGTCACTGCATAGCTTCGTCCCATGATTCAACTTCCATAAACAAGCCATCTTCACCATTTTTCCAGCCTAGGAAGAAGGGTCTGAATCCAGACTGCAGATAGTTAATCTATAGTGGTACCTCAGTTTAAGAGCAGTCCGGTTTAAGAACGATTTGGTTTAGAAATCCGCAAAACCTGAAATAGTGTCTTGGTTTGAGGACTTTACCTTGGTCTAAGAACGGAATCCGAATGGTGGAAGGGCACCGGTGACAAGATGCCTCATTAGGGAAAGCGCACCTCAGTTTAAGAATGGTTTTGGTTTAAGAATGGACTTTCGGAATGGATTAAGTGCGTAAACCAAGGTACCACTGTATTCCCATAGCTGGTAGACTCCTTTCCTCCCTGTCGCTGATTTATGGCCAATTATTATTATCTCGAATACATTCCTCTGTGGATAATGGAGGTTAGGGAGGACTTTGCTCTCTAGTTTCAAAGCATATCGTTTCTCCCCCGCCCTCTCAGTTCCTTTCTCTCTCACACACAGTTCCAGTTTTGTTAAATTCCATATTATATTCCAATTTCTTCCATCCTCACTTGTGCAGATATTTTTAATAAAACTTGCATTCTGGGGAGGATTGCCGTATCATAAATGTAGAAAAAAGCTTTAAAAAAGCAAACCGTGGGCTCTCCTGCCTCCATTGTCGCTTTTACCAAATGAAATCCACTCTCAGTCCAACCTTTTACATCCTTGGAGCTGGGTTGTTTTTGCAGTTTTTTATCTCATCATCTCTGGCATGTGCCTGTAGTTTATTCCAATTAAAATCCAATTAGCAGGACAATCTGTGCTTCCAGGAACAGGATGGGGGGGGGGTCATGGCAGCCAGAGTGCTCCATGCACTCAGTGCCTTTGCTTGCCCTCGCATTCCATGGGGAAGCAAATGCCAGACCACCAGGCAAACTGCAGGTGAGAGCCTGGTTCCTCTTCCATTCGAAGAGGAATGCAGATAATGATATTTCCCCATCTTTTTCTGATTGTCTCTGTCTCTCTCCCTTGGTGTTGGGGGAGACTCCATTCCTGGTGCGCCGGAAACAGGAAGCTGTAGATAACAATCCTTTGTTCTGTTTCTTCCGGCTTATCTGGCTTCCTAGTTAGTCAGAGGGCTCCAAAAGCCTCATGGAGGAGCTATTGTGCTATTCTGAACGACACCAGTAATTGGGTCTATCACTTTAGTTTTGCTTAAAGTGACAACTGATAGGAGTCAGCACCTTTGGCAGAATGTTAATGTTGTTTAATGGCCGTGAATGTTTCCTGAATAGGCAATTCACCTTCAGAGGAGGAGACAGAGAGAGATGTGAATTGGCAGTTTTGAAGAGACTACAGAGACAGAGGCTGAGAGGGAGAATGAGCTGTGAGTTGGCCCAAGGTGAAGTACTTTGGGGTGCAAGGTCCCTTTTGAGTAAGGTTACCAGATTATTTTCAATGAATCCAGGGACACTTTTCAGCTTCAATGGATTTTGTATGGGGACTGATTTGTAAATCCAGGGACTGTCCCCGGGAAACGGGGAGGTCTGGTAACCTTACTTTTGAGGGATCTGGTGTAGTGAAGTGGATCTACTGACTTGGAGGAGTGCCTGTTTGCTTCCATGTGTAGGCTCTGCTTTTATATTTTTGAATAATGAAAATATAGCAGAAATGCCATAACTCTCTAGTGCTCTCTCATTCAAAAGAAACTAAACAGTTGCTCCTCACTCCTTGGAGTATTAGGGCCAAGCCACATATGACATTAAAACTCTGTTATTGCATTTTATTTGCATAATTTTTTTTTATTTAAAAAATGGAAATAGCTGTCGTGCATGTATGTGTGTATGGGGGGGGGGGAGCAATATCACTATGTCAGAAAGTGATCCTGCAAACTGTCTTCTGCTGTGATTCCAATTAAAAACTTGTTCTTCTACCTCCCATGTTGCTATTTGCAATGGGAGGAAAAGCTCCTATTGATGCCAATGCAAAATAGCAGTGTCCAGGTTTATTTTATTTAAAAAATAGTATTACAGCCGGGGAGGGGGGGGGAGTTTATACTCTCTCCCCACCTCTGCTGCTAGGAGACCCCTACAGCAGCTATTTCCATGTTTTAAAAAATTCACAAGCCCATTAAATGGAAAAATGCTTTTAATGGTACATCTAATTTGGTCCTTAGGGAGGCATAACAGTATTTTAGGTCTCTTCTCTTCACTGCTGAGAAATAAGTCTGAATACAACAGGGACATTGTTACCTCCAAGAAGCTTAAACTTAAAGGAGCATTAAAAAGCAACATGATCTACAACAAAAGAGTGCACCGAACAAGGATTACACCAATATTCAAAGAGGTTCTGTTAAGGAACAAACCTTTGTGCTCTGTAGATGTACTTAGAATTTCCAGTTAGCCTGTATAGGAGCAGGAACACATAAGCACTGCCAGCCACTCCATGACATATTCCAGGTCCTTTCTTCAGTAGTCCCTTCTGCCAAGTTAGTTCTCCACAGCGGATACAACTGTCTAGATATTGGGGCTTCTTAGAAACTAAGTATGCTTTTGCAAACATGTATGCAATGCCTAGGAAAACAGCAAACCAAAGAAATGTTGTAAGTGCCAGTGAAGAAATGAATAATGGAACAATTACTACATAAGATCATATGTATTTTCTCCTTCATATTTATAGGTGTGAAGTGCAGGTTAGTTGACTGGTGACAGGAATAATCACTGTTTTTCAGTTTTAAAAGCCCACCACTGCCCACTCAGGTATCTTATTTTATGACTGAATGATATAATTCATAGTAGGATGGACAGATAGATAAGATGTATTCTGAAGGCACGAGAAGAGCCAAGCAGGTCTAGCCAGTTACTGCCTGGGAACCATGATTCCACGAGAAAATAAAAGCTGAATATAAATGTAAGAACATAATTAAAATTAAATCAAATCCCCAGCTATCTTCACTAAAGTACTCTGATTCACTAACCTGCTTCCCTATTGCAGGTGTGGGGAACCTTTAGCCCTCCAAATGATGCTGAACTACAATGCCCATCATCCTGGCCATTGGCCCTGCTTGCTGTGGCTGATGGGAGTTGCAGTTCAGCAACATCCACAGGGCCAAATGTTCTCCACACCTTCCCTATTGCCTACTGCAATTAAGGGCGGGGAAAACACTTGCCAAGATGCTTGTTTGCAATCTAAATTATGGGCAGGAAAAGGTGGGATGATAAGGCGGGGCTGGTAGCATAGATGATAGCAAAGATCACTGGTGGGCTTTTAAAATAAATAAAAAAGGCTTGGGGGGAGACACTTTGCAGAAGGTGGGATTTATAGAATTTATGTGTTGCTTACATTGCTGCAAATGCACTAGATATGCAGCAGTGCACAATTAAGCAGTGTATCAGGCTGGTGTTACATTCTGACCTGCATTACTATATACAGAGGGGATGTTGTGAAAGAATGAATAGGGCTGATCACAAAAGTGATTGACCCTGTTTGATTCTTCATGAGTAGGATTTAGTCCTGGAAGGACCATGATGCAATCTGCATCAATTTCCACCGGAAAGAAGTCCCTCAAAGGATGCTCTGGATTCTGGCAATGCAAGTAAACTGTCATAGTCACATGAACAAGCTATGCTGCAATGCATTCAGATTTCTAATGGCTGCAGTAGCAAAGGAATCTCCATGTGTTTTGAGAGCTCCCTCCATTGTCTGATCTTCTAGTCACTTCAGTAATACAAAATATTTAAGAGTGTAATGTTAAAATTGCGGCAGCCTCACATCAAATGTTACGAATGGATACAATTTGGCTTGTTTCTCAGCAAAACAGCACTGGGTGAAATTGTGTTTTAATGACTAATTTCTGGCATCTACTTCACAGCATCTACATTGAGAAGAACCTGGAGCGCCATGACACCAGTGCACAAGCTCATTCTCCCGTTCAATCATCTCTCCTAGTTCTGGAGGCCAGTTGCAATTCTGCTCTTGATCCATAAGAAAGTCAACACTCTGCCATACTAGTTCCTGATCAGCAGGCGGAATATATTCATAGTAGGAAAGCAGCATCTGTAGGATGGATGAAAGGCCGTGAGCAGCTCCTGTGAAGAACAGAAACAGTTACAATAAAGTAGGTAGCGATGCACTGAATTTTTGCAGGGTTTTGCATCTTGGAGGAAACCTGCTGTTGGGTGGCTCAAGCTCCACTCAAAGGCAAGCCACCTCTTGCAAAAAAGAAAAGGTACATTTTGTGTCAGACACTGCACAGTGTGAACCCTCTCCCTCATTTGACAAATGATTTAAACAAGAGAATGGAAGGGACACGGATCAGCTCCAGGCAAAGGGCTTGCCAACAGACAGGAGGAGTATCCTTCAGAGTATCGTGCAGCGAGTAACCTTCAAAGTGGCTTTTGTTATTTTAAAAAAGAGCACAACATTGTAACCCCTGTCCTCGCAAGACTGCTGATATGGTGCCCTCTTTTTGGAAGGGTGAAAAGCTTTGCCTAACAGAATTTACCCTGTTCTGGCTCACCACGAAAGACAAGATTTCTGCATGAATATATATCAATTTTTATACAATATTTCCTAGTATATATTTCAAGACAAAAAATCCCCCAGTTGAATGTTTCTAGACCTGACTATTTTCGAGCCTCATCCTTACCTATTGCTCGTGTAGGCCACTTCATAGCCAGGTTTGTTGTTTTGACTCCCTAGTATAAAATAATTATTATGGATGATCCATCTGAACACTTGACAGAGAAACATTTGGTCCATACAGTGCTTTTTTCTGGGGGGATGCAGGGGTACGCATACCCCTAAACATTTTGTGAATCTAAGTTTGGCCTCATCGAGGGGCAGTATTTCAATATGAGTAGGAAAATGAGAGTACCCTTAAACATTTTTTAGGGAAAAAAGGACTGGGTCCTAATATATATCTATCTATATCTATATCTATATCTATATCTATATCTATATCTATATCTATATCTATATCTATATCTATCTATCATCTATCTATCTATCTATCTATCTATGTATCATCTATCTATCTATCTATATTCTGTATGTTATATTTCTTGGGTGCACAGATTTTATATCTCACAGTGGAATTCTATGCATGTCTCCTCTGAATCAAGCCCTATTTAGGTCAATGGGACTTACTCAGGCTTACTCTTAGATCCTTCCATTAAAATGCAATGGGAATTTCCTAGAAAATCAGCAGGAATACACCTAATTTTAAGGTCTCTACTCACCAAGGTATTCTGTTCCATAGTAAGAGTACATGAGTGGAACTGGTTTTCTCTTCCTCAAAGCATACTGTTTCCCAGACTCTAACATTGCTTGACAAATTGACTTGATTTGTGGTGGAGTCAACACCTAAAGGGAGAAAAACCTATCAGACGTGGTAGGCGTGAAATGTAATTTCTAACATTTCATCCTGAGATATCCTTTGAAAGGTGAAAGATCCCCCAAGTCCCTAAAGAAGGTTGATGAAACTATGGCCTTCCAGATGTTGCTGAACTCCAGCTTCCATCAATCCCACATGTGAGGGTGGCAGCCTGTCTTAGGGGGTGAAGGGAAGGCTGTACAACTCACAAAGAGAACTCTGCTCTCCAGCACCTTGCTGCTGCTCCTTACTTCCCAGTAAACACTGCCTATGGGTGTTCCTTATCACTTAGAACATTGCTGGAAAAATGGTAAACAAGATTGGCGGATTTTGCATGCTGCTAGAGATAGATCACTGCAAACAGGGTAGAGATGTTTTGTGGCAACAGGATGCATCATGGGAGTTCCATGCTTCATCCAGAAGGATGAAATGAAATGCATAAAAGGTACATTTGAAGGAGCCACCAGTTTCTTTGTTTGAAATGGGTTTTATACAATGATGGAGAACATGCGTACAAAATGAGTGAATAATCTCCTTTGCATATTCTTAATTAGACTCCTAACGATATGCACTTCAGTTAATTAAACCATTTCCTCAGTACCTATTTAATCTATTTTTCTTCATCAGTAGGCTTCATATCATTTAGGAAGAATTTAGAGGGGGAATTTACAGCAGAGAAAAGGTCTCTTGTGTGAGGAGAAGGCATTTCTGCTCAAGCAATTGCCTACCAATGATTTCTGCTGATTCCTGTCTGCAGCTGCCCGCAACCTCCCATTCCACAGCAATCCACAGGCTCTCCCTCAGGAGCAGCTTTTCAGGGCATGCAATAATGCACAGCAGGAAAGCCTGTTGCATGGGTGGAGTCCCACTCATGCTTCATTGGTCCAAGCCTATAAAAAAACCCCTCACATGATTATATAAACAGCAATATAAAGCCCCAAATGTTACAAAATACTTTTATATAACATGGAAACCCAGGTGGAATCAACCTTCAGTGTCCTTCATCACAGCTGAATGGGCTGTCAAGCAATATCCCATGTCTGATGCTTTCCCCTAAATAGTTAGAACACTCATAACTTTGGGTTATTGCACTACATCATTATAGGGCAGGATACTGATTTATTTATGTTATATTAAAAGACAGTTACTGCTTTCATTCTCACTGTCCCACTCCAGCATGACCAAGAAATGTCACCCAAGGCATGGCTATACACGCAAAAGTGGGCTTGATTCTCAAGTCTTCTTATTGAAGTTCAATGGAGCATAAGAAACAGGCTGCATTCAGGAAGACGAAACCTGCTCCCTTCCACCAAAGTAATTGGAGCAACACCTGAATAGTGTTCCTACCTTCACTCCTTTACTTTTGCATATACAGTGGTACCTCGGGTTAAGAACTTAATTTATTCTGGAGGTCCGTTCTTAACCTGAAAATGTTCTTAACCTGAGATACCACTTTAGCTAATGGGGCCTCCTGCTGCCGCTGCGCGATTTCTGTTCTCATCCTGAAGCAAAGTTCTTAACCCGAGGTAATATTTCTGGGTTAGTGGAGTCTGTAACCTGAAGCGTATGTAACCCGAGGTACCACTGTATGAAGTAAATATTCACCTAAAGAGCTCTGAAGAGTTTTGGAGAACTTGAAAGCTTGCCACACTTTTGTGGTACATATTTGGGTTGGTCCTAACAAAGGTATTCCCCAACTCTGAATTTTGGAGTTTCATATATACTGCCATAAAAGAAAAGAAAAGAAAAAAGAAAAAAGCACACACACACACACACACACACAACCCCACAAGAGCTTATAATCTGCAGGATGAAGAATTAAGCTGAATTTATTAGTCAGCTATGTAGATTTGGTTTATTCCGTATGATACTTGTTCATAAGGACATCAACAAAAGGCATTCATTTTATATCTCACAACTGTGGAGAACGAACAGCAGAGGGAGCTTTTGCAGCAGCTGTGATATACACAAAGAATGCTATGAAATGAAGAACACAGTTTGTATTCAACAGGCTAACTTCAGAGGGTTTTGGCCCAGTAGAATAGGCTTCTAAAGCTGTGCTGCAATGCAGCACATCAAAAACTGGTCTTGAATGCCATCAGGTCAGTTTCTTTTTTCCTGATGGAGCCTATAGGAACAGTGATTTACTCCAAGTCTTTGTCATGGAAGGTGATGCTTTGTATGTTTTTTGTTTCTGAATTTTGCCAGTGATCTCCAGGAGCAGGGATTTAACATGTAAGCTAGCTACTTTTCATGATTCAGGACTACTTTTTCTTTTTCTTTAGCACATTCATCCTCTGCATTAAAACACACAAAATGATTCTTCAACTCTACGGTCACCCAAAATAATCTTTCTTATACTGTAGCAATGGTATTAAATGCTGACTTGCAGGACTGTGGGACAAAGTCACCATGTTCTGCTCTGTAAACCATCACAACAACATATTTTTTAAAAAATAAACTGCAACAGCTATCTGCAACTATTGGTATCAAACAGCAACTCATCTATCCATTTATGGGTGTTATTTTGCCAAGTGGGAAAAGAGAGAAAGAGGGAGAGAGATGGCACACTGTTACAGAGTAGTGGCTGGAGACAGACGTTGAGTTTCTAGGAGTGTTGAGGTCTTGTTGCTCTTGTTGTATGCACTCATTTCTGGTCTCTCTGCTGTTGTCTCTGTTCAAAATTATTTTGGAACCCTGAAAAAAACCTGTTTACCACTTTTATTTTGCTCAATGATTTGTAATTTATGCCTCATAAACAGCCCCTAAAATGGAAGCATCAACTCATACTACAGAAGAATGCTCATAGCTAAAAGAGAAAACACAGAGCAGGTGATGATGGCTCTCTCATCCTTTTTCACAACTCACTGTAAAACAGAACAGAATTAAAGGTAAAGGTAAAGGGACCCCTGACCATTAGGTCCAGTCGTGGCCAACTCTGGGGTTGCGGCACTCATCTTGCTTTATTGGCCGAGGGAGCCGGCGTACAGCTTCCGGGTCATGTGGCCAGCATGACTAAGCTGCTTCTGGTGAACCAGAGCAGTGTACGGAAACGCTGTTTACCTTCCCGCCAGAGCGGTACCTATTTATCTACTTGCACTTTGACGTGCTTTCGAACTGCTAGGTTGGCAGGAGCAGGGACCGAGCAACGGGAGCTCACCCCGTCACGGGGATTTGAACCACCAACCTTCTGATCGGCAAGTCCTAGGCTCTGTGGTTTAACCCACAGTGCCACCCATGTCAGGTGACCTCTAAAAGTGTATTTGACTGGTGGAAGAGTCAGCTAATTAAAATGTATATCTAGAAGAGCTATGATTAAATAAAGCAAGCCACAAGAAATGCTCACTCCAAAAAAACACCTTGTCTGTTTTTCTTTAGTGGCTCATTTTCATATACTCTCAGCATTCCTAATATTCCACTGGTGCTAACAAGCAAGCACAACAGAAGAGAACTCCACATTGGCAAAGAGCCACTTTTATTTTGCCTGCTGATTTGCAATTTGTGCTGCATTAACAACCCAATGAATGGAAACATTAGCTCAGGCTACAGAAGAATGCTGATCTGTAAAAGAGAGGAAGATCAAATGAAGGTTGTGAAGTCTCAAGACACTTTAACTTTACAGTATTCTATGCCCTCCCCCATAAACGAGTGGTTATGATTTTGACCCAGTAGCCTCCATGCCAGATCCATTTTCATTTCTTATATAACACACACTCTCTCTCTGACACACACACCATAGACAACTACAAAAGGACAACCAGAGAAACTCCTGTGGCATAAAGAGACAGCTGTTGCCATTGCCTGGAACCAAGCACATGAATCCAAGCACAACTGAAGTCACATTCTGAATGCAGACATCACATAAGGCTTGATATTGCTCTGTTCCAAGAACAAAGAGAGAGAGAGAGAGAAAGAGAGAGAAAGCAAAAACGAATTGGAGGAACAACGGAAGTAAGAAGCACATTCTCCCCATTCAATCTGCAGTAGCAAAAGAGCAGGAAGGTAAATTCTCCTCATTAAACATTTAGCATTTGAGCCTTGGATACAGGCAAGGTTAAAGCTATGTTAGTCTTGCCTTCCTGTGCCTCCTTCAGCTGTCACTGCATATAAAATAAGAATTCCTTGGGGGAGGAAAAGACGGTTTTGTCAGAAAATGTGATTCAGTCAGTATAAAAATATTCCCAGTAGGTAGAAAGAAAAAATATTTCTTCAAGACAAAGACAAGCAAGACCACCACTAGAAACCAAAACAGTATGTCCTTAGTATGCAAGGTGGGTTTGCTAAGGCACTGTTTTTTGATGGGAGCAGCTTATTACATGGTTAAAGATTTTCTAATAATCAAATACTTAATGGTGATGCTTTCATCCCACCTGCATTCAAATGCTAAATGCTAAGCACTAAAATTGTTCTAGGAAGGGCAGATACTAGATTATTTTCACACATTACAGGGTAAAGAAGACTCCCTTTTCCCTCAATGTGAGTCTATTACATATTTTCTCTAATCTTTAAGAGACATTTTGTGTCTGAAACATGATCACACACGTGCCTCTTCAGTTGAGTCGCAATTGCCCAGGGTGTGTTCACGGTGTGTTTTCAGCCACAGGAATGCCTTTCAAATATTAGGTAAAAGCTGACTATAACATGCCCAGCACCAAGTCCACCACCATTTTGTGACTGGCTCCACCCTGTGCCACCATTTTGTGAGAACCCATGATGTAACACACAAAGTCACCCTCAGGCACAAAAAAGATGTAGAAAATAACATGGCATTAGGAGATAAAAAACCCATAAACTCCTGATCCAAGAGTTATTGCTTGAAAATAATCAATAGGACTTAAGTTGCAACTATTGTATTTGGATTCAGAGTGCAAGTAGTTATTCTGAGAAGTAACTACAGCAAGGGTAGTCAATGCAGTGACCTCCAGATGTTGTTGAGCTCCAATTCCCATAAGTTCCGGGCAGCATGGCCAATGGCAAGGGATGATGGCAG